ACTTTGCACAGCTGAAGCTGATACTATCAATTCAGTGGCTGCTGGCACGCTTGCTTCCAGCATGCCATATAGAGAGTGCCAGAATCCTCATGTGATCTGTTTCACTTACCAGTGAAAGCCTAGCTCCTTTATCTTGGTATCCCCTGGCTCAGAGATGTATTTAAGCCACCACCTCAAGGCAAACTTCTCCTCTTGATGAGATACAATACCTGTCTACTTGTGCTGATACAGGCTTAATCAGTTGTTCCAGCTCAATCAAGCAATGTCTCTATCTGCATCATCAATAATATACATATAAAACACATAAAAGGAAAAAAAAGGAAGAGGAAAAGCAATTGATAACTGTTTGATGACTGTTACTCTTCATACTCAAATAAGAATTACATCCTTAGAGCTTAGCTAACCAAGGAAAAGGATAAATTGGTTTATTTTTAACTAGGAAGCTTCTGGCAAGCAGTCCTTGGAAAAAATAGCAAGAAACCAACACTGGCAGCATGGTCAGTATTAGTGGTGCAACCAAGGTACCTTTACTATTTAAAGCTATCAGTGGACAGCTTTAGCTTGGTGATAGTCCCATGGGATTGTGCAAACTGCTAGAGAAAGAAAGAACTGAATTCAAGAACATCTCTGATTTGGCAAAGTAAAAACAAACACTAACACAAAACAAAAAGCAGCAGTTTTATTTATGCCTGTGATTCTATTCTCTTGGACAGCATAGTCCATAGCTTACTGACCAGTAAACCACTCATCAGCAAAGGATCTGTCCTACATACCTCAAGGCCCTCTAAAGAACAAAGGCAAAAAAGGCAGTTAACTTGGCTCATTATAATAGCTGTTAGAGACAAGACCTCACCTCCCAGTTAACAGACCTGGTGAAAGGAAACAAAATGCACTGCATTGAGGGGTATAAGAAAGCCTGTAACACTTAAAAAAAGAAAAACTTTGAAAAGATCAGACATTTATAACTTGGATGGTACCAAGAAGTCCAGAAGTCGCAGATCTTCCAGATCTCAGATTAGGAATAAATTAGTCCCAAAGAGTGGTTAAAAGGAAGAGTTACTTGTCTTTTTCATCAGCAACAAATATATTTCATGATTAGGAGGGCACATATATTAAATGCTTATTGATGTCCTCAGGTATTACTTGCAAGGCACTACTTCTCAACTAATCAGACAGTGCTTCCTTCCCACATTGACTGAACCATGCAAAGTGCCCTCAGTGCCTCCTGCATCAAGCAATGGGACTTGGCACATAAATCAAGCAACAGCACTCAAAGACAAGACACAAAACATGCATTGCTTTTCAAGGCAAGTGGGATGGAGAGCCTAGCCAAAAAGAAAAGGAAACCTCAGTTTTGATAACAAGGAAAAGGAAGTGTGATGTGTAGAGTTCTCTTACTACTTTGACCACCTAAGGTTTGCAGGTATCGAGCACCAAGTTAAGCAGTAAAACTAGAATGTTCATAAAGCTAGTCAGACTACTTGGCCATGTGTAAGAGATGTTATGCTTGTGACTCTTCCGAGAGAAGCAAAACTCTGTGGGAATAAAAGACCAGAGCATTAAATGGTACTGAAAAGTGATTACCCTGGCAAGAAAAAGGATGAAAGATTGGCTCAGAAAAGAAGCTGAAAATAACGACTTTGAAGATGGAGTCCTGCTATAGCTGGGGAGAGGAAATGCCTCTCCAAGTAGTTTATGACAAACTCAAGACAATGAACGAGTAGATAAAGTATTAAGAATGTGAAAGTATCCTCCTTTTCTCTCTACTCTATGCTGCAGCACATTTTAATTTACTTTAAGTTCTTCTTCCACTTTGAGGAAATCTGTAAGATTGCTTTAGCAGGTAGCCAGAGAAGAGAAGATGAAAAGATACCCTGGCAGAACTCCAAACACAGAAGCCTCAACCATAACTTCTTCTCTGGAGTTTTTGGGTACTGTAGAAGGACATGTCATCAAGGCCTGTATTCTTGAAGAATCTTTATCAAGATGTTCTTATAATAACACCCTAATCCAATTTACAGAAGAGACCGGGGGGGGGGGG